TCATAATAGGGAAACCATGAGCCCCGTACCCCAATGTTTTTTTTTATCTGCCTCCTTGTCCTTGGCTCTTTGATAAACAATGGTGCTCAAAACTGTGAACAGATCCCACATCTAGAAAGTCACAATTGCTTCAGATGAAATGAGGTCCTAATAACAGATTTACTATATTTAAGGCCCATGTTTTTTCCTCATCAACAATAGAAATAAATCCTCTTATTATAAGCTTATTCAAACTTTGTCAAAAATTGTAAGCCATGTTTGGACCATAAAAAAAATGTTTTCAATAAAAAGAGATGATCTCAGCAGATGGTTGTAGCTTTAGGCGCCAAATAGGGATGCACAGATACCAGTGCAGAGATACTTTGCATTTTCACGAGAACTACCAGGGCTGCAGCGGTTGCAGCTGCGACTGGGCCTTGGTGCTCCACCACTGTACTGAAAAAAACGTCACATGATAAAGAAAAAGGTATCAGTAATTAGTATCAGTGAGTATTTGGACAAGTATCGGTACTTGTACTTGGTCTGGAAAAAATGGTATCGGTGCATCCCTAATATATGCTGTAGGCCCCGTTCACATCGGTGCGGTTCGGGACGCACAGAATTGGCCGTGCGCATCCGCCGACATGAACGGTCCCATACATTGCTATGGGGACCGCTCATGCGACCGTGCGATCCGAACCGCCTCCTGCCTGAATTGCCCCCTGACCCTTTTGTGCAGCGCTGATCAGTGCGGTTTCCATACAGCTTTCAATGGAACCACGCTGTTCAGCGTGGTTTGGGGCGTATTTAATTGTGTTTCAGCGCTGAAAAGGCAATTAAAAACTCCCAAAACAGCCCTTTTAAAATCAGTGTGGAAACCGCATTGATCCGCAACCGCCCTGGTGTGAATGGGGCCTGGAAGGTGCCTCCTGACTTTTAAGTTTTTCTCTAGTCTAGTCTTGGAGCTTGAAAAGTATCAGTACTGGTACTTGTAACAAGTACGGTATTTGGTATCCATGCATCCCTAGCGCCAAACATTTTGTGCCTACTTATTGGAGTGATGGGAGTCTGGCCTTAAATATGGTACTTGCACAAATGTGTTCGGCAGGGCATTTGTCAAAAACATATGTTGTAATAAGTGGCGGTGATACACTTAGCCCTTTTAAAGCTAAAATTTGGGTATGGAGCTGGTACTGTCAGACTGTAATGCTGGCTTCTTATAACCCTTGTCAGGCCCTCTTCTAAAAACATAAATTAACTTTAGAATCAGTCAATAAAAATTAGGCTCCATTTATGCTTGGATTCACACCACATCCATTACATTTAAAGGGTTATTCACAAAGCTGCCGAAGACAGCCGAGTGACTAACCGACCCGAAGTGAAGTGAGCCAAACGCTGTTCGGCTATTCACTTCAGGCTTGTATGGCTGATTTCAGCCTATTAGCCGTACATTGGCTTGCTTCGGTTGGCAGGGCAGTGCAGAAGGAGTTCGACTTAGCCAATCCAACATCTGGATCGGCTGAGCCGAACCTCAGGCAGGCTACTTGCTGCCGTTCGGCCTATTCTCATAGGGGCCAAACGGCAGTGAGTGACTAGCCGAATGCTGCTGAGCGACATTCGGCTCGGCTATTCTGCTCGGTACCTTGGTGGTACCGAGCAGAATAGAAAAACAGTGGAAAAAAGTAGAAAACAATTGGGCGGAGCTAGCAGTGACAGCTAGAGCCGTCCAACTGTTTCCTATTGGCCGGGACAAGAAAACTCGGGGGAAGCGGACGTGTTTTCATTGCCGTGTTGTCATTGCAATTACATTTTCCAGGTGAATGTGCTAGAAATGTGCCTGTCATTGACAACTAGTTTGCTGCTCATAGTTGATTGTGACTGCATGTAAACCTGTATGTACACATCACCGATTGAAGCAAGACTGAACTGACACATGTGAATTGACCTGTGATGTAGGAAAAGCATAGCTGAGGTGTCATTAGCGGAGGTGTCACGCCGAGTAATTAGTTCAGCGTCCCCTGGTTACCAGGGGATCAGGGGACGCTGAACTGTCATTGTAATTGGCCGCAGCCAGCCATGAGATCACGGTTGGCTCCGCACAGCTGTCAGTTGCGAGGCTTTCGGCCCACTTCAGGTTTCACCTCGGCTCAGTTGAGCAGAAGCATATGCCTTGGGCTCGACTGAGCCGCTCGGCCAACTTCGGGAGCTGTATGGGCTATAGTGAATAGCCCGTACAGCAAATAAGAAAAAACAGAGTGGACTGCCTTTAAAGGGAGGCAGTCAAGGGTTCACAGATGATCGGGACAGACCCAATTTTAGTATTTTGTCAAACAAAAAAACTTTATTTGGTGTATATCCAAACACGACATATGGTGTATATCCAAAACACAAATGTCATACACAATAAAAACTGAATAAACACTGACTATAAGTCTATTTTGTTCTGGGTGGTGATTTTTGACCCGAGTTAGTTTGTGCACCTTTGAGTCAAGACCCTAGGTTTACTCCATCTTGAATCCCACATTCGTGGGATTATATTTGATAGATTGTAGCCCCGCTAAGACACCATTCTCTCAAAACCCACAGCCTTAATACTTCCTTAAAACCTACAACGGTCCCACTATTTGGATAGTCTATATATTTCTAACCAACAACAAAGTACCTGCCCCCATTGGACTACATAGAAAATACCGGGGACTCTTTACTTTCCATATATACCCTCGGCCGAGGCACCCTTGGACTTTATAACCAACAGGATCAATGAACCAACGAAAAACCAATGGAAAAATCCCCACCAAAGGATATGTGAGTAGGAACTACTGATATATTATCTTGTTTCTATTATATATATTTTTTCCCACTTTTTTTGATACTCTTTTTCTAAAAACGGGAAGAAGATTCCTCCTACCCGATTTCGGTAATAATTATACGTCTAATAGCTAATATATATACAAGATATATCTTTACTACTAACTTCCGCGAATAAATTCACAAACCGATGGCCATATGACCTAAGGGCAGTGATTAAAACTACCCCTTCATAAAAGAATATCAATACGACCAGAGACAGAAGGAAAGGATTTCTTTGATAGATACGAATACTGACTTTCTTTGCCATCCATTTCAATAAAATCCCCCCTCTTAGGGGGGCTACAATCTATCAAATGTAATCCCACGAATGTCACTAACTGAATACAGGTCAATACGAATCAAAAGGAATAACTCGACATAGAGTATATCAACTAAAGATACATTTCACTAACCTGTTTTTTACCATCTTTCACCTTGAGAAGGTGCTGCTGACATTCAAGATGGAGTAAACCTAGGGTCTTGACTCAAAGGTGCACAAACTAACTCGGGTCAAAAATCACCACCCAGAACAAAATAGACTTATAGTCAGTGTTTATTCAGTTTTTATTGTGTATGTCATTTGTGTTTTCATTTATGTAGTGGTGTTTGGATATACACCAAATAAAGTATTTTTGTTTGACGAAATACCAAGATTGGGTCTGTCCCGATCATTTGTGAACCCTTAGACTGCCTCCCCTTTGAAGGCAGTCCACTCTGTTTTTTCTTATATGCTGTTATCAGGTTACTGATACGGTTGACAGACCCCTTTAAAAAGGGTAACTGAATGAGCACGGATCTCCAGGAGTAAAACAATCCCGTCTTTTGTAGCCCGTACAGCAACCCTACGGTTCGACTGAACTGAAGGGCCCCGGCAGCTGAAGCTAGCCAAAGGATCAGCCGGGGCAACGGCTGATCCTTCGGCTGGCTTTGTGAATAACCCTCTTAGTTTGTGTCAACACATGTTAAATGCACTTGATTTGAAGTGTGTTGGCACCTGCTTTTTTAATGCATTGCATTGATGTACATTTTTTTGATGCATTGCATTGATGTGTAGGTTTTTTGTTCACAGGAGCAGCTAATATACTTTATTTTTGAAAGTGCAATGTGTGATTCATTGTAATGCATCGCAGCATGTTTAAATGTAGCATGTTCCATATTCACATTGCGCACACCAGCATAAGGTGATGCAACACAAATTGCGCTTTTTGGAAACAATAGATTTTGGCTTGTAATTGCATTGAGCCTGTCTGTAGCAATCTAATGCAGATCGTGTGAAGGCCCTACAAGTTGCAACAGGCAAATTAATCTGTCCATTACTGATATTTCAGCATTTGGTAGATGTTAGAGCTGTAAACCCCCTAAGAGTGTCTTCTAACCTTTCGCAAACTCTATTGGTGAAATCCCAGGTCTGAACACTTAATGAGGGGTTCCCACCATTTTTTTTTTATATTATGGGGGAAGTAACAGGAGGAGTTGGAACACACAATGATGGCTGGGAAATCCAAAACTCCCACAGGACCGGAACAGAGTTATAGGAAAGAGATCTCACTATTGGAGTATCAAATACATACAAGAAGCCAGGGGCTAATATTGACTCATTTACAGTAAATATTACTTCTGAGCTGGTATAATTGACACACTTCAGTAATCGATTCAATTCTACTTTTAGGTTTACCCATAAGAATATAGTGGTGATTGGTAAACATGTAACCCTACACAAAATCTGTTTTCTTTCATTTCTGATCGATTCTGATTTTCATCTCTTTTGTTTTTCGTATCAGAAATGTTATTTGGTTCGTTATTTGAATTTCTTATCTGTCCGAATTTTCATTTCAGAACGATCCACAATATTAAGTCACATAACCGTGCCTTAATGCAACCCCCAACAGCCAAAACCAACTTCTGACTGGCCAGAGAACAGTCACATGTTCGAGTAAGTTTCATTTTGAAAGAAAGTCGGAGGGATCCGAATGTTCGTTACACGTGCACACGTTCAAATTCGGAAATTCGTATGCATCAAATTTAATTAAATTCATACGAATATCCATTTGAAACGAAGCGAAATGTACATGTCTAGTGACTGGACAATGCAAAAATAATATTAAAACATCTTCTTTTCTACTTTTCTCCATCTTGGTACAATATGAATAACAAAACATGAAATACAAACATCCTAATATTTTGTTTTATTGTTCTTTAGATAGCTGTGGATAGTACAAATCGCTCTGTATGGTAGGTCTTCTGATGACTGAAATTATGATAATAAAAAACCCTTTTCTAATATTTTGTTACAATTACTTTGAATGGGTACAAAGATTCTAGAGGCTTTTTCCACAGACATCTACCGATTTCTGCGTTCGATTTAATACTAATTATTTCATATAATAGATTAAATTCTCTATTTATATGACCGGTGCGCCACTTTTACTCTACGTCAAGAGACAGCGCCCCAGGTCTTTGTGTTCTATAGTTACCGTGACGGGTAAACATCTTTCTCTAATTATATATCCATATGTATATATTATATGTAATAAATATTTTTCCTTTTTTTAAGATCTTTACATAAACAAAAATGAATTGCTCTTAATAAATCCAAACTACTTCAGATTGAACAACATTCATCGCGTGAAACAGACAAATACAATTGAATACTTCAGAGTACAACAGACATTATACATGATAATTTCTACATAAGTTTAAACAATATGGACAAACTACCATTATAGCCAGAATACAGACTTTCAATTTTTCTCGATTAGGAGAGTTTTGTTTTTCTTTTTTTCCTTTTTTTTTTTTTTTAATAATTGCAATACTTTCAGAGTTCCCCGAACTTTAGAGATTTTTTTATTTTTACTCTAGAAAAAGTAATTATAATGCTTCTCCCTTTAAAATACCCAACCGTGCACTAATCCCTTTAAGTTCTTGGAAGGAGTTCCATGATCATCCTTCTGGATGTTTTCCATCCCCCAACAGTAAAAGCTCTCCATCAAGAAAAATCCCACATCTTTGATGTTGGGTACTGTCCATTATAACCAACAGTCACTGCCTTGTTATTACATGTTTTATATAGCTTTATTTTTAAACAACAAAAGTATATTTTCTTGGATCTTATGTGCAGCACGTTTTATTTGATTCCATTGTTATTAAAATGTAAAGTTCTCTAGATCTGCAGGTGTTTTTTGTATTATGATGTAATGAGGGCACATGGTAGTCATTCAACTCCGACAGACCTTGCAGAAGGACAGCAAAGTTTTGGCAGCCGATATGTTCTGTGTTTTGTTCAGTCCTACTGTTTTGGTCAGTTCGTGGCAGCTAGATTTAGCTACAATTCGTCGGAGCGGATGACATGGAACAATGTGACATTGTAGAGGACCTGGTGGCCGTTGTTCCAAGCGTACAGAGCCCGGTCCTTGGGATTGTAGTCCAACATAGAGATGTGTGAATACTTGTTTTGAAACGGGATGTCAATATATTCATAGTTGGAAGTGTTTGTTTGGTAGGCGTAGTGCACTTTGGTGCCACCGGAATAACCGTTGGTGACATACAGAGTCCCACAGATCATGAAGGCTTCCCCGGCACTTCTTTTGGGGTATCCTGTATTCCAGCTCTTTAGGATCTGTAGAGTATTGGGGTCTAGTTTGCTGATGACTATGTTACCAGCATTTTGGTTGGTGGCATAAACCACCCACAACCCATTCTCATCTACCATGAGGTCAATGTCTGACTGGCCACCCCAAGCATAGTGGTAGACATTTGTGTACCCAGCAGAGTCCAGGCTGCGTGTTTTCAGAATTGTCTCTGATTTTAAGTCAAAACGGATGATGATGTGGCTTTGGAATTTGTTGAAATAGATGGATCCATTATATACAACTTGGCCTGTCCCCGACCAAGGATGAGGGAGACGGTGAGAGGTAAAATTGTCACTGTTCATAAAGTCCTCCATTGACTTGTACTCCCGGACAAAGCGGTTATTGTGATAGCCATCCATATACCAAACCTGCAACACCAATACATAACATTAGCTCTGTAGGACAAAAGTTTTCGTTCACTTACATGAGGGACACTAAAGAGACATTGACATTTCATAATGAAGGTAATAATTAAAAAAATCTCTCAGTGACTATGCCTTCCCTCCAAATCCTTTCAGATTTCACCCACCCCTGCAGTGATACCTAGGAGGAATGCATACCTCTTTCCATAAACATTAACATATGACATTTAAAACTGAAATGTCAGTGGCAAATCTCCCTGCATTACCGTTATCCCCAGTCCAGGGTAGCGATGTGATTACAGTGCCTATTACAATTAACTTTCTCACTGTGGAATATTTACAGTTTGCACACAATTGTGAGAGGGCCAAGGATGTCAACATGTCAACAGACTAAAATGTTAAAGCTATGTTTGGAACGTATACCTTCTTCAAAAAAAAAAAATAATTCCTAAAATATAAGCAATCCCATTGACTAAAATCTCACATGTATAACATGATAATGTAATTTCAAAAGCAATTTTAATTTTTTTTTTTTAAATATGCAGTTTACATTTACATGGAGACTGTGTCATGAAGGTCTTTGTTCATTCACCTACTGTTATAGGGTGACAATATGCTGTCCCTATTTTTCAGTTGTGCATCCATGTAGACATGCTATTACACAGGCTTCTCATGTCATGAAGGCTACAATTGGCCATTTCAACACACATTACACAGGCATGCCCCACTGTTGTCACCATCAGGCATTCCACCCTGAGAAATGCCACAATGGAGTGCATGTGACAGAATGTGGCTGCAGGAGATCAGCAGCAACAAGATGCAACAGTTGAAAAAAAGGTAAAAAGTATTTTGTTCAAAAATGGCAATTGTTAATGATACATGGTGCTTTGACACACTGAATGTCATGCAGTTAGGGTTTACTCATAGCAACCAATCAGAATTTACTTTGTACTGGGCTGATGGCTCTGCACTAAAAAAAATAACTCATTATTACTGCACATGACCAGTGGTGATGAGCACATTTATAAAAATTATCACCAGTTATAAATGGCCAGATCTGGACTTGCAAGCCATTTCACTTGACACATTTTGTTAATAGGTAAAAAAAATGACCACCTGTCCCCTCAGGGCCGGTTCACACCACAAACAGTGCGTTCCAGTGCGGGCAGCCTCTGGAATGCACTGTATCGCTAATCGGCCAGCTCCCTGCTTTCGGGGGCATAGCGATGCATTGAAGTCGCCCCCCGTACCCAGTGGGATCGCTGCACCCGAACATGTTGCACATGAGTGCCTGCGTTTCAGTCCAGAGCGATCTGCAAAAATGCTGCAAGCGCTGCCATGTGCTCGGGTGTGGGTGATCGCACTGCGGGCGGGGTTCGTGGCTGCGGTGCCATTGACTTCAATGCACCGCCACTCCCCCTCCCGTCCCTGAACACAGGGAGCCATCCGGGTTGCGATTCACTTCATTCCAGAGGCTGACCGCTCTAGAACGCACTGTTTGTGGTGTGAACCGGCCCTTAAAACAGACCTAGCATCACAAATATTTTTTCATGCTAAGTACAACATGGCAAGTAATGTGTAAGTGTAACACTTGAAGGGTTTTTATTACATCTCATAGAGATTACAGTACTCCCCCTGACAATGTCTCCATCTGCTTTTCTCTCCAGGAGGGACTCAGCTTTGGTAAGCCATTATCCTGGACTGAGATGCTAGCACAGAGAGGGCACAGCCATGCAAATCCTGGTGTCTGTGCAGTTCTTGGCTGTGTTCAAAAATGTCTGGCACAGATCAGCCAATGCTGCAGCCTCTCACCTTGTGACTTGCTGCAAAGTTACAATTTTGCAATCTGATCATTGAGGGAAAGGAGACTGAGGAAATGCTTCCTTGTTTCTGCTGCACACTATCATCTCAGACTAGGAGAAGTCACTGGACTGGAGGATGGCTTTAATGAAAATGCTAAGCTTTTTCTGAAAAATTCCTTTGTTGCATATTGCAACATGTCAGAATTTATTTATGCAGACTACTGTTGATATTGATTTTGATTATTTCGTGATAAGCTTACCCTGCCACATTAAGGAAATGGTAATAACTTAGCAGTTTAATAAAATGCTGCATACTGCAGAATCCCACTCTGAATCCCAGTGATTTGGCGCATTTACTACCTTTTTTTCTTAATTCTCTGACCCTGCCCAGGAGTTTCCCTTTAATTCTAGGGGGAGTGAGTGAACTGTCAAAAGCAGTGTATCAATCACTATTTGCGGTCATTGAACTATCTGGAAATATATTGGATCTTGATAGAATTTCGGTTTATGCAAACTGATGCAGTCATCTCAAAGGACAACCAATCAAATTCTCCCTTTTCCAGTCAAGTCATAGAATGAAAGAAACAATCTTCTTAGTGGTGGATATACTTTTCCACATTGATATTCGAGGTCCAGTTAGCGACTGTGTTTTGGGGTTGGGGAAGACTAGTCAGGAAACAAGTATTACTTACTCTGTTATCTCCTTCTGGTGCCTGTGGGTCAGTCATCCACGAGCCAAACCTGGACCCCGATACCTTGATTGTGACCGGTTCACTGATTCCGGTCAGCTTACCACAGGCTGCAAAATACAGAGTTACAAGTTAGTTCTGTCCTGGCGTCACTATCACTGATGTATGTAATCATAGATGTATATAAGAGAATTAATATAAATTAACTATAATGCTATATTTTTCGGACTGTGTTGTGTTTCGAAATGTTTGCCTACACATATACTTGAAAACACATGCACAAATATACCTCAAAAATGCACCTGCAAAAGCATTACTGTTCATACACAAAAACAATAAATCCATAGAAGAAGTCAAGGAACGCAGGCACCCAGATGTAGATGTTGGCATTTATAAATGAAGTTTACATTTTTTTATAACAGACACTCGGTGAAAGAAAAAGCTGCAGAATTTATTTCCCTGTTTTTGTCCTCTAAGATCTGTAAATGACTCATATCTTTCAATCATCACAGAGATTTTGTTAGGGCTCACATTAATTATTGAAAACCACCAGTGATTGATTGAGACGTGAGGAATATTCTCTACAGGATGGGGGTGGGGGATATCATTTGGGAATAATCCACAATGTAAATCTTTGTTGGTGTCAGCAGCTGGATATAAAAAAAAAGCAGAGCTGAGAGGTGACCTGCATGGTATTAAGTGTCATATCTGCATCTGCTGTGGTGACTCTCATCTCTTCTGTCACCAGATCTTTCTTGACTTAACTCAATTTTGTTGCACGTGAAGCTATTGCAGAGGGAGACAGAACGTCTCGAGGTTCTACAGATACCAGTAAAATTTGGTTAAGGGTAGGCTGGCAACTAATGAGATCAGACAGGATGCTGCAGATAAGGGTTGGCTGCTCGTAGGAAGAAGCCCTCCATAATTTGATCAGGATTTCTGTTGGCATGTGGTCAATACAAGATAGGAAATATCAATAAATTAAAATGACTCCATTGCGGGTACAAACCAGAGGAGGACAGCTCTGGTTTGAAGGCCAGATCCTCATAAAAATATTTGTTTTTGTGGTCACTGCCACCTGTCTTGGCATTAAAATTCCAATGGCATCACTCTGCCCAGATGAGGAATCCAGATGAAAGAAAACGACCCCTTTATTATGACACAAACCACTGCAGGGAAAATGCAATCATAGAAGACTCCAAGAGATATTAGTTGAAGTGGGATTCAATTCACCAGAGTCCACTCAAAAATAAAATATATGTTTTGAGCGGTTTGGCCTTCAAAGAGAAACTGTAATAAATATGTGAGTATACTCTATAAAGGCTTCTAAGAGATTTATATTTGCCCTATTAGCTTCACTCACTTTGTCTGAGGCTAATACTAAGCGGAAGAGCTGAAAAGCTAAGGCCTGGCAGTTGCTGTCCAGTACACTACCTGACCTTATGCTGATAATACTGCTATTAGCTCCTGAATGTGCATAGCAATATCACAAAAAGGCCCCATTGATTGCAAGCTCTTGACTCTCTTGAAGTATGATAAAAAAAATGGCATGTGCAGCTGAGCCCTAACACTTTAAAGAGAACCAATCAATATATAGTTCAGTAATAAAGTAACTGCCACAGCTGACTTATTACTCATTTTTAAAGGCTAATTGTACCTTTCTGACCATGTTTCATGTTATATCCATAGTTAGGGTGCAACATGAAACTTAGTCAGATTTCGCCCCCACACAGCCGCGCCATTCATTTACAGATACTCTGACATGTGTCAAACTCCCACCAGACATCGAGTGACTCATAGTTCTCAATGGAATAAAAGTGCAGTGACATCACCGCACTTGTAGTCCATTCAAGTCAGAGCCAGAGCATCGCACCCGCAATCTACCGATTGTGGTTGCAATGCTTTACTGGCTCCAATGCAAAAAAAATAATAAATGCACAATCTTTCTTTTATGAAGAAGTGTGCATTTATTTATTTAGTTTTTTTGGCAAAAAGGTGCAATTTCCATTTAAAGATGCAAACTCTGTGGCTGTCATTCTCATCCTTTGATCACTGCTGAGTCACTGACCCTGAACTAGTATGCAGTATAGGAACTTAAACTCCAATTTAAACATGTATAGTGGCTCACAGAAGAGAAGCAAATATTTTAACCACTCCAGAGAGTGCACCTTAGAAAACAAGCTGGCAACGGCAGCTCCCATATTTCTATTCTGACAGGTTCCCTTGAGGGTCCATTTACATTATTGCAAAGCACGTTACATGTGTTGCAGGACCATTAACGTTGGGGTGAGCTGCCACAGGGTGAGCTGCCATGCATGACAATGCATCATAGTGTGCTGCAGTGTGCTCAGACAAAATGTTGTGGCATACTCTTTTTTTGGGACATTTTGGTGCATGACAGACCATTGAAATCAATATGCTTCTTTAAGAAAACGCACTTAATGCATGTCATAATTCACGTTAATGTAAATGGACCCTCAGGGTCCCTGCAGTTCTTCAGCGGGACAGTATTCGATTAATGTAAAGCAAAGGAAAACATAGGCAAACTCTTTAGTTGCATTTCTTTCCCCTTTGATTTACAAAGCATTCCATATATTTGTGTTACTATGTATGAGTGAAGGCTACACTGACTTCTACACAAGATTTGTGCTGCAATTAGGCAGCAGTTGTCAGTCCAGATGAGGACACAGCGGAATGTTCCAGGTTCTGGGGCTGATTGGGGTCACGTGAGTCAATGACCTCAGCTAATCATCTCAGCCAGGCCAGCTCCTGTGTGATAGTAGATGTGTCTGTGACCACAAGGATCACCATCTGAGCAGTGCTCCTCACATGGAGAGAATGTGCCATATGGACAAACAACCAGCTAAATGATAGAGTGACACTAGGGGGAAACAGCCAGATTACTGCTAGAGTGACACTGCATCTCTGCGGTAATTTATGAAGTGTCACATTTCTTTAAGCATTGTGTTTCTTTGCTGTTGTTTTGGTCCTATGTGTCAATATTTTTCCTCTGTGTGAATTTGTATTGATGTTACTTATTTGCTGATGTTTGTATGTGTTTTGCATTCTGTGGGTATGCTGTCACCTCTCTGTGTGTGGGGTATGTGTCTGTGCTGTGTAATCATAGCTTTCCCTTGATGTATAGACCTCTATAATCTACTAGTTCAGTGCAAACAGTGTTTATATAGAATTAAATTTATCAAATGTAGTAAAATGAAGGGAAAGTGTTCTATTTAACCATTTTTGCACTTAAATTGCTCAAGGTCTGGGGTATAATAGGATGATGGCCTTTTCCACCAAGCATTGTTTTGAAGTGTCCTGGCTCAGAAAGTTTGGGGATATGAGGTAATTGTTGATACTTATAGAGAATTCCAGTAAAAATATTTGTATTCATCCTAACATTGGCTACAATGGAGAACCTCTCCTTTCTGTGTCTTGAGTTTTCCTCTCACATTCTGCGGTGTCACCAGCAGGAAGTGATCTGAATCTCTTTAACAGGAACAGCAAGAAAAGTACTTTATCTGTGGAGCTAAGTTCACACCTAGGCGATTTATCCGCGCGATATTGCACAAAACAGAGATTTGCATTTAAATCTACAGAAGCTGTTCACACCTTTTGCGATTTGTCACGTGGTAGAATCGCCTGTCATGCAAAAAGGTGCAGCTATTTTCGAGCAGTTGCCGTGGGGTTTGGGTCCCATAGACCACTATATGCATTGAAAACCGCAAACACCGCACGAAAACAGCTCAATCACTGAGGTGTGAACCTAGCCGGAAGGGTCAGCACCTCTAACAGGTATCTGTCACTGTGTCCACACTAAAGAGATTTTTTTACTTCCTGAAATACTCCTGTGACAGGAAGTGGTGGTGAACTACACAGGCAGCAGCAAAGCTGACAGAGATTCTAAACTTTCCCTGCTCCATCCATAACTACGGTAAATGAAATATGGCTTTGGTTTCTGAAATAAACTAAACTGATAGTAGTGTATAATTTCAACCAATCCTAATTCTGAAAATGATCTAAGCATTTTAGGAATGAAAAACGTAAGGGCACCAGCGGTAAAGGTGCACAAGGCAAACAGATGGGGTACAGCAGGGTACATGGCACACTGGCTCTTATGGCAGAGCATGCCTGAATGTGTGTGTTTAATATATGTTTGTACTAACTGCACATAGAATATGGTTTTAAAACTCACAGAGTGATAACATTCACACAGAACTGATCCTACTTACATATCTAAACAGTTAATAATACTATACACTTCCTGTGCTAAGTATGCCCATTTAAGACTAATTTGGAGGCATTTTACTAGATCCCCCCCCCGTATTGCTCTCTCCTGTATGGAGCTCTCCATGTCTCTCATCTGTCTTAGTGCTGCTGGTTTCATAAAATGCCAATATAAATAATTAACAGTTCTTTGTGCTTGGTGCCAATCTCTTAATCTCTGCCTGCCAGGGTGCCATATCACCATCCTGCAATGCTGCTGAAAGGCAATCTCACCATGGTGTGCCCATCTGGATGCCCCCTCCGCCTACTTCATGCATACATATATATACCCGCTACTCCGCTGACCCACGACGTCTAAGTAAAAAAGAGAATGTGACTCATTCTCTTTCCACCCAGGTGACAGCACTGGTGCTTGGCTGCTCAAGATCTCTGTTCTGTCACATAGAGGCAAAAGAGAGGCCTTGGCTGTATGTAATATATCTTAAAACCTGACCCCCCAGCACATTCTGTCTAATGGTGACAACACTGCATTTTCTATCCTCAGCATTCAGTAGCATCCTTGATACCCTTAAGGTGTCCATACACTGTTTAAATTTCATCGACTTTTTAAAGGAACTGGCAAAAATTTGCACAGTGTGTGCCGCTGTCGGCGCCCTTTTGATCGGCATCCCTCAATCAGCTGATCGAAGGAGCTGGTCTGAAAATCTTCGATTGATCAGAGCCGGCAGCTAATAAGCTGCCCGCTCTGGTCGAGTATTCCGACAGGGTGGCGGCATCTGTCAGAATACAATGTACACAGCGGGATTCCACGATCGATGCGCTGTTAGTGTTGATGGAGGAATTGGGTCTATTTTTTCGTTCGGTCTGCGGGTTGAACAAAAAA